CTTCTTACTTACTTCTCTCTCTCTCTCTCTCTCTCTCTCTCTCTCTCTCTCTCTCTCTCTCTCTCTCTCTCTCTCTCTCTCTCTCTCTCTCTCGTTTCCACGACCAGTGTTTAGACATGGAATAAAAATAAAGCGTGACTCGCTCGAAATTTTTTTTTTTTTTCAAACGCTTCACTTCTCGATACCTTTCAACGAAACGAAACCTGGTTAATTTCAATGGAGGCGTGCGTCCATTGAAAACACGCAGAGAATACGAAGCGTTTTCATACGAGCGAGAAAAAAAGAAAGGGGGAAGGAAAGAAGATTGATCCGCGAGGGTAATTTAATCGTGGCGCTTTCATTTAGATTAATCAAATACTCGATCGAGAGAAAGGAGGCGGAAGAGAGAGAATGCGTGATTATTTACATCGTGGATCAAACATATAATACGAACGGAAACGTTGCGATCAAACTTGTAAAATATAATCGATTTTGTTCGTTGTTTGCATCATCCTACGTTGTTTTCAATAAAAAATTGTTTTTAATAACGAAAAACAATCGTCCTTTGAATAAGATTCAACGAGTTTTTAATGAGAGGTTAATATATATAGAGGAACGTTAATAGAAACCGGGATGCTTCGTTGGATGAAGATGGGAAGCGAGTGATTTTTTTACATCGAAATATAAAATAATTAAGAGAGGGAAGAATGAGATGTAAACGGTTATTGGAGTTCGTACGTGGAGGTAATTTTCACGATACCTTTGAAACGATTGATTTTATTTTATTTTTGTTTGATGAGTAAACAAGTATTTGAATAAATCAATTTATGAAGGTATCATAATTAAGCGCATTCATAAGTTGTATTATCGTCTCTTTAAATAGGAACCGATTTATCTGGCATAAGGATTGTAATTTGTAATTATAAATTATTTTAGAAGAATGAAATAAATGTTGATAATAATTAAATTATAAGAAACGGAGAACAGAATTCTTCGTTTAATTTTGATACGCTTTTTTAAATTCTTTTCCTCTTTTTCTACATCGTTAAAAAAGTGTAATTCTATCGCGGGAAAATATTCCCACCTCTACGCATTCTGAAGAAGCGAAAATCACGTTTGAATCTTTGTAATTTAAAAACTTTTCGTTTGTTCAAACTGGGAAACCATTTTGCACGGTTATTGAAAAACATCTTTTATATCTCGCCCTTTTATTTCTCGTGAAAAATATAACAATATCGATAAGAAAATAAAATATTGATAATAATTCCAAGCGATTCGTTTCTCGCGTTCCATTCCTCCTTTCATTATGCCACGAGTTCATTACGTCGAATAAAACTTTCTCAACGAATCAAAAAATAATCGTTTGTTATTTCCTCCGCGGAGACAGATGGAAACTTTATATCTCGTTCTTCAAAAGTTTCGAATAGCCAGCAAAACGCATCGTTATTACGTGGATTACGAATCCAGTTCGTAACGATATCGATCCTCTCCCATTCGAAAATAAGAAAAAGCGTGAATGCCTCCAACCCATTTTTTTGCGATTAGGAAAGGGATCGACTTTCAAAGTTGATTACCTTTGTAAACGGTTTCCTTGATTAAACAGAGCTTTCAGAGGTGCTTAATGTTTTTCTGAACTGAACTGTGAAAATCTGACTTTTCTTCAAAAGAATCGATAATTCGAATGCTACTGCTCCATAATTTTAAAAAAATTCAAATGGAAAATTTAATGGGAAGGATAATCCTTATTTGAGTAAAAATCTGAATCTCCTTTAAAAATTTTTATAGAATAACCGAAACATTTTTTTTTTTTCCTTAAATATTTATCCAATTTTAGAATTAGGAAAGGATAATTCTCGTTTTCCATCGCTATAATTATTTCGTGTAAAATTGGCTTGCGGCTAACGTTTCAAACCTTATTGGCCATGTAAATAGAATCATCGACGTTATTAGCAACACGAAATGTTCCTCGAGCACGATTCGACTGAGATCTTGTTAGGAAGCATATTCACAGCGAGCAACGTAAACGTGAGAATAGATATTCATCAATATCTGGATTCGCGCAGTGGTTATAATTTTATACACGTAGCATACGAATTCAACTCTCATCTCTCTCTCTCTCTCTCTCTCTCTCTCTCTCTCTCGCTCGCTCGCGAAAAATTACAAATTAATCGCTTGTTATATTAATTCGACTCATGTATAAATATTTCAAAAATTAAATAATCGCGACACAATAATCTTCACTTTTCGACTTTTTCGATCGTTATTTATTCAAATTTTATTCACGATGTGTTAATCGCTGGTGAGACGTTTTCCCTCGAAATCCATGCGAATGATACGATATTTTCGATTGTGCGTTTAAATTATTCAATAAATATTTAAAACCGTCGATATTCATCGGCATCGTTAATATTCATCGATAATACGACAAAATTTATCAAATCAATATTCATCGATGATATACAAAATTGATCGTTCAATGGTTCAGTAATGATACGTAATTATAGAAAAATTCGGTGGAAATTTATTTTCCTATTTCCGAATCCGTTCATTTTCCCAGAACTGGGAATCTGAATTTCGAGTAGATTGGAAAGTTTGTATGTAAAAAACGTAAATTGACTTTTTGATCGAAACAAAAATAAATCCTATAATTGAAAGATTAAAACGAAAGTTGACGAGACAAACGAATATTCAGCGTCATTCATCGAAATTAATATATTTTATCTATTTTTTTTTTTTTTCGATATCTCTCATTTACTGTGTAAATTATTTGCCTTGCCAACACGCGAATAATTATTGATCTTAAACAAACAATAACATGTTGATTTCCATAATATTAACTCGTTAAAGATTGAACGTTGAAAGAATGCACGATAAAACTTTTATTATTATATTTTTATATATATTTTCGTTTCAATTTTAATTCAGGAGAAATTGCAAGATATCTTCGCTTATTAAACATCTTCATTAACTTTTTTCTGCAATTGTGCAAAGATCGTGCGTCTTTTTCCATTTTTTTTTTCTACGCGACAATAAGAAGGAAAAATATGATAATATTGCAAACACAATGGGCTAAATTCTAAATTACTACCTAAAAAAAAGGAAAACAATTTAATTATTATTTAAAAACATCCATCGCCATTCTTCCTTGGCAAAAACTCGAGTAAGAAAATTTGCATACCGCGAGAGAACGGTTGAAGGAAGTCGAAGGGGGATATTTAAAAATGGGGATAGGCAGCCGTGAAGAAACATGTTGTCGCGTGACAAGAGTTTCGTGTAAAATCCCTCGATAACGAGGAGGCGTGAAGGTGCAACTTTAATTTAGAAAATACAGTCGAGCAATTAACTTAAAAGCGAGCCAAACACTCGGGTGCAATTGCGAATAACGTTGCAGCACCGTTGCTATTCTCCTGCAAACCGGATCACAAGCAACCAAATATTGTCCGGTTTTTTCAATTTATAAATGGAGAGAAAGATGGAAGGAAACCATTGGTCGATTGCTCGTGTACGTGTGATGGAATGTCGAACACGTTTGCATACGTACGCATACGCGTGGATCGATCGAAATTAAAATGCAAAAAATATTGCACGAAATATTGATGAAAATAAAATCAAAAAAATTCATCGAGCCGTTTCGAATATTTTCTATTTCCCGGATAATAATCGATTCCTTTTTTTTTTGTAAAATTTTGTTTTTTTTTTTTTGAAATTCAAAGATAACACGGTGATAAAATTTTCTCTCGCAAACATAAAGTTGTAGTAACGAATGTATCATAGGTAAATTTTATAAATATTTGTATGTCAAATATTCAAAATTGTATATCAAAATTTTTAGAACAAGAAAGTAAAATAACATTTTTCTAATATACTTAATATACAAAAAAATCTTTATTCACCAAAGATTCTTTCCAGATCACACTTTCGAGTAATCACCTAAAAAAGTATGTACGGATCGACCAAGATTTTGTTTCCTTTAAAACAATATTGGAAACGTTGATTCGATCACGGTCATTGGAATTTTCAATCTTTAAAACGATATTTTATTAAAAAAAAAAAAAATTATTATCACAAGATCATCCCTGTTATTTCAATCACGAACCAGACGTTTACTTTTAAAGAAAAAAATTATTATTGCAAGGATTACATTATCGTGTTTCAACGACCATTCATTTTTCCAAAAATCCACTTTCCATCCATTCCATTTTGGATCAAATTCCAAATTCATCGTTGTTATTACTGTTCACTCGACGATCCATTTTTACAAAAAAA